AATGATACAGAATGTATATGAATTTTGTTTAGAAGTCCATATAAAATAAAACATAAAGTGAGGAAAAAGCAAAAATAAGAACTATCATGTTAAGAATATAATTCAGATATTAAAGGAAAAACACTATATAATCCCATGTATATGGAATATCTAGCATGAGTGAATGTATAGGTGTGGCCAGAGTACAGGAGTGAGGGGCTGATAGAAGTTTATTTAATGCATACTCACTTTCTGGTTTGGTGATGAAAAAGTTTTGGAACTAGTAATGATAGTTGCCAAACCTGGTAGCTTGCCTCTGGAAACTCTATGAACGTGGAGAAATGATGAAAGTTATACAAGTGTTCAGATCTTTCTTTCACAGGGTCACTATGAGTCATCTATGACTCAGTGCCACTTAACATCATAGAGAGAGAGAGAGCTATGTTGGCCTAGTGGATAGAAAGTTATGCTACCAAGCCAAAGGTGGGTGATTTTAATCTGTGGCCCTCAGGCTTGGTTTTAATTGGTTTTGGCCAAACATTCTTCTAAGTGAGATAGCACTGGTCTGTCCATTTGCTGTACAGAGGTAACTCATGGTTGCTATGATGTAAATACTGTGACTCTGATGTGTCAAATGCGATAATGGTTACCCATGGTGGACAGTGTTTGGTGGAGCTCCCTGATTAAAACAAGCTTGGAAGCAGGAGTGGCATCCATTTCCTAAATAGCTTGCCTCTGGAAACTCTTTGAACTTGGAGAAATGATCAAAGTTATACAAATGTTCAGGTTTTCATTCATAGGGTCACAAAGAGTTGTCTGTGACTCGATGGCATTTAACAACCAACATACTTAAAAAAATGGTTAAGATGTCCAATTCATTCCATTTTCAAGAAGCATCCAGGCTCTGCTTAACTCGTAATTTTCTTTAAACCTTTTGCCATTTCTGGCTACTTAGTATATTAAATTATCCAGGTGAAGCTATCAATTAGAGATTTCCTCGTGTCTGTCCACCATCTGTACTGGGGAGGTGGATGAAAAGGGGACAAGGAAGCATTGCTGTGAGAATCTTGAATGGTAGAGGTAGATTCAGCAGGAGTAGAGGTGGAATAAAGTCGCCAAATGCCCCACTTCTGTCACACGTGGATTCCATAGATGACTGGTTTTCTTCAATTTCCATAATTACAATTTCAGGCAGCACCCCTTCACTCTGGGGCCTTTATCCCGTTTGTGGGTTACCCGTTTCCTGTGCTTTTCCTTCCTGCAGCCCACCTCTTGGCCTTATTAACATTACTTAATGTCACAATTGATACTACAGGTGTACAAAGCAGGTTTTGAGAAGGAAAACTAAGTGCACACCTGTCAGAGTTGCTTTGTGTGAAATGAAAATATTTGGTGAGGAGATGCCCAGACTCTTGGCCAGAACAAGCCTTCTGAAAAGCATAGCCATTTCGGAAGTCCACACCGTTTCCTTCATTATCATCTCAGCTAGCCAAGGTCAGAGTAATAAGCACAGTGAGAGTTTGAAACTTGGAAATAAAAGTTGAGGCTATGACCTCTCTTGTTAGGCATAATTAATTAACCAGTATTTACAGTAATTTTGAGTAACTAAGTCATTTGAGAAGCAGGACTGTATGAAGAAGAATGTAGCATCAGGATTAGAGGAAGACTCCTCAATTACTTGTGCTATGCAGATGATCCAGCCTTGTTTATTGAAAGTGAGGAGAATTTGAAACACTTGCTGCAGAGGATCGAAGAGTACAGCTTTCCATATGGGTTACGAAGAGTACAGCTTTCCATATGGGTTACACTGCAACATCAAGAAAAGAAAAAATTCTTATCACTGAGCCAATAGGCAGCATCATGATAGAAGAGATAGAAATTGTCAGTGATTTCATATTGATCAGACCCTTGGCACAAGCAGCCAGTAAATCAAAGGATATATTGCGTTGGGAAACTCTGCTGTTAGGGACCTCCACAAAAATGCTGAAGAGCAATAATGTCAGTTTGAGGACTAAGGTGCAACTGATCCAAACCATGATCTTTTCAGTTACTTGTTAATGCTGCTAAAAGCTAGACAGTGACTGGGGATGGTGAAAGAAGAATTTGTGTCTTTAAGTTGTGGTGTTTGAAAAGACTGCTGAATAGCCCAGGGACTGTCTCATATACTTTGGGCAGGTTGTTAGAAGGGTCTAGTCCTTGGAAAAGGAAATCATGACTGGAAAGGTGGAGAGGGTCACGGAAGGAGGAGAAAACCTTTAATGAGATTGAGTGACACAGTGACTGAGCAATGGGCTCTGTTGAGTATATCAGATATCATACGATGGCACAGAATGGAGCGAGGCTCGGATCTGTTGTTCATAGCATTGCCAAGAGTTACTGATTTCCCACCTCTTTACATCTATTTCATTGCCATCCATTTGGAGCCAACTCACTGCAGACTCTCTGGCAGATTTTCAGGGGTTGTGAATAGCCCAGGAGGAGATTACCCATCTTTCTCCCATGGAGCAGCTGTTGCTGGATTCAAACTGCCTCCTTAGCCACTAGTTCACTAAATCTCCCTAATTAATACTAATAATTTGAAGTGGTGCAAACTGGTACTAACTAAAAGACTGGTGGTTCAACCCCATGCAGAGGTATTTTAGGAGAAATTCCTGTTGATCTGCCTCCCAAAGTGCACAGCATGAAAATCAGACTGCGCTGGAACTCAGTGTCAACTTGATGGTGTTGGGTTTGTTTTCTTAGGATTTTAGGTTTAAAGTATGGTTTCACTTGTGCCTACAGTCAAGGAGTCAAAGCTAACAGGATTCCACAGTGAACAGCAATTAATAAAATGTGCGAGTAGGTAGTAAGTTGTGTAAAACAGAAGCTTAGAGAGGGAGGAGAAATGAGAAGCCAGAAGAAATTTGTGAGTGGAAGCAGACCTACCTTGTGCCTTGTCAACTAAGGCAGTGGGGGGTGTGGTTTGGCTTAGAAGGTAGGAGTGTGTGTTTAGGGCAACTAATGCCAGGAAGAAGTCAGGATGGTGAGGAAAATGTGAATATTCATTGAAATAGATCTGCCTCTCTTCTGTATGATAGAGCTCTGTGGCAGAGTCCACCAAGTTTGTCACCTTTCCGGTGGTTCAGAGCCACTGCCCACGGGAGGAAGATGGGTGATCTCCCATGTGATCAATCTACAGCCTCTGAAAACCCACTGGAGGGTCAGGTGTGACTTGCTTCTAACTTAGTGGCATTGAGGGTTATTTTTAGTTCTGTATGAAACTGGTATTTTCTCTGATGGACATTGGGTAATTACTTAGCATGAACCCTTGAAAGGTACTTATAATATTCCACCAAGGAAATCTGATTTTGAAAACCAGTTAAAACATTGATATCGGAGGGCCTTGGGAATTTCTGTCATTGGATAACATTTAGTATCAAGTGATGATAAATGGGAAGGAATGAGCTCCCATTCAGGCTGTACTTGGAAGGAACGCCGGCAAAACTCAGTGCCGCCTGCCCTCGCCTCCCTTTGTGACTTTCTGCCTTCTCTCCTCTCTGCCTCCTTCACACAGTCTCATCTACCTGCCTGCATCTCCTCCTTCCCGTGATAAGGTCTTTCCTGCCTCACTGGTCTTTCCCTTTGCTGCTCCCTCTTCTAGGATTCCTATCTCCAGGGGTCTGGGGAAGACCTTTCTTTCTCATCAATCGTATCTCAGCTCGGATTTCACATTTTCTCTGAGCCTCGTCTTCCTGACCACTTCACTTGAAGTCCTGTGCCCAAAGATCTCAGATTTTACCATCACATCACCCTCTTAAATTCCTTTGAAACCAAGGAACATACCGTATGGTTTTGTTTATTTGTTGATTTATGTTTTTATCTGTGTCCTCTTTTGAGGGTCATCAGGGCAGGAACCTCCAGTGCCTTGTTCACCCCCTACCACCCAGGATGTCATAGGTACTCAGTGAAGTGTGTACTAAATGAATAGCAATGGTGGTCCATTATGTTTCAAGCGTACAATGCTTTGCATTCTCTCTTCTTTCCAAGAGCGAAAGCATTACAAAGCAGGGAGAAAAGAATGAATGGTGAGAGACCTGGGGTGGTCATGTTGCTATGGCATTACGTTTCAGCATATCTCTTTCCTTTTATTCCTTTTCTGGGTCTTAAGGCCCTGGAAAACAACACCACTCAGAAGGATATTTCAAAGAGATGGACTTTGAAAGAACAATTGTGTGGCTTAAAAGAATGCTAGTAAATTATAGCGGGGAAAGCTGCTGCTTTAATTCACTTCTCCATGTGTTTATATGTTGTCACCATTGTGGAATAAAATTGCTCGATATAATGAGCAGAGGTCGGGGTTTTTATAGTCCGCCCTTCAAAGCCTTTGCATGTTCCCCATGTCCCCTGTGCACCCACCTTTCTGTCCTTGGTGCACTTCTTCTTTTCCCTTCATAGTCGCCCTGGATGAGCCTCACTTTCTTCCACAATTTAGGGGACAGAGGCCATTGTGAATGTATTGGAGGAAGTTGGAGAACCTGTTATTTTCTTTCAGTCATGGGTTTCTCACAGTAACACACCTGGCTGTAACATACAAAAGCTGCCTTAAGTTAGCTCTCATTTGTTGCTGCTTTGGCATCTAGGTGCCTGGTTAAGAAATTACATAGTTCTTCAGTTACCTGGTTTGGAATGCTGAGATTGCCTATCTAAGGTTATTCCAGGTGTTGTGAATACATTCCAGTGTGAAATAGCATGATATAGCTATTATTGTGCCATTCAGAGAGACAGGTTTTTGTATTCTTCCAAATGACTTAAGGCTTCACATCATAGCGGGTGGAAGAGAATCCTCACTCACTTGATTTCGCCGCCCCTTGTCTTCCTGCCCTCACCTGTCAGCTAACGAAGAAGACCCATGTTTGAGCTCCAACTGATAACTACATCCCCCATTACAGTTCAGTTTAATGCTTGATCTTTACCCATAGGTTAATCCTCCCGTCGCCTAATTCAGTAAGCTTTAACATCCTGCATGGTTCTTTCTTTTTTAGCACTGCAGTGACAACACACACCCTTGCCAGTCAGACATGAATATTGAAGGGGCCTGGAAGAGAGGCTACACGGGGAAGAACATTGTGGTCACCATCCTGGACGATGGCATTGAGAGGACACACCCGGATCTGATGCAGAACTACGTGAGTGTTTGCTACTGTTACCTCTTCTTCCTGGGCGCAGGGCACTCGTGTCAAGGGTACCAGAAAGGGGGAAAGCGACTGGACACATGTAGCTAATAACTTCAGTAGACTCAGGGTAGTGCTCCTTTCCTGTAAAGATACTCTTAGTATGCAGGAAGGAAGTGTGAGATAGCACATTAAACTGCCCACTGCCTTTGATGTTTTGACCTAGAAAGTCGGGTGATAAAGTTTCACATCTACCACCAATAATATCCTGCTACCAACAAAATCCCACAGTTTTCAACAATTTGTCCAAGAAGTCTGGAAACACTCTTTGTTTCTTTTGTTGTTGCTTGTCTTTGAGTTGAGCACAACTCATAGTGACCCTATGAACAAAAGGCCTGAATCCCCTCTACAACTATCAACATTTATCAAAGTTCATACTGTTTCCAGAGGCATGTTATTTAGGAAGTGGGTGCCAGTCTTGCTTCCAAATTTGTTTCTCTCTCTCTCTGTGTGTGTGTGTGTGTGTGTGTGTGTGTACCATCAAATCAGATCCAACTGGCACAGGAGGAGATTACCCCTCCTTCTCCAGCGGAGCACCTGGTGGACTCAAACTGAGGGCCTTTGGGATTGCAGTACAGCTTCTTGCCACTAGGCCATCTTTGTTTCTTTTATAGGGAAAAAAGTAACATTTCTCAAGTTATTCATCTTGTCTCTGTCTCTGTCTCTCTCTCTCTCCCCCCCCCTCCCTCCCTCCCTCCCCCAACTCTGCCTGGTTTTAAGAACAATTAATGGCCAGCCTCACAGGGCCCTCACAACTGGTCATTTCCCTTTCTTTTGAAGGAATTACAGATTCTGTTCCCATTTGAGTATAACAGTTTTGTGTGGCAGCTCTCACCTTCTCCCCAGGCACACTCTGGTAGCTTTCTAGCTGTTAACGTTACAGAACTTTAGAATGAACTAGGAAGGTCAGTCCAGTTTCCTTATTTGATAGATGAAGAAATTGATGCATGATGACTGAAATCAGCTATTCCAGGTCACTTACAAGAGCTTCTTGTCTCCCTACTAAGCAACGCTTCTCATCCTATGCAAAGGAGTTTTATTATAGTTTTATAGGTCACCCTACTTGATGGTAATGTATTTGACCAAATGTAAGTGGCTGTAGAGTAATTATGACTAACTTCTTTATTTTTCCCTTGTAAGAAAATTCACTAGAGTGACATATGCTATAAGGTGTATCCAAACCAAACTCAAACTCGCTGCTGTTGGTTTGTGTTCTCTTCCTGGCAACATGGTGGGCAAAGCAGATCTGCCCTGTGGGTTTCCCCAGGCTGTACATCCTCACAGAGGGGGATTCCCTCATTTCGCTCTAGTAGAGCTGCTATTGGGTTCAAGCCACCAATATTTTGGTTCCAGTTCATTGCTGTGCTGCTAGGTTCCTTTGTTAGGTGAATGGGAATTCTCATAAAGTGTAAGGAAGTTCCCCCATGAAAACCAAACTTAATGTCACTGAGTCAGTCCTGACTCTTAGCCACTCTATAGGATTCAGTAGAACAGCCCCACAGGTTTTCCTCAACTCTAAAACTTGACGAGAAAAAAAAAAAAACAAAACTTGACGAGGACAGGCGGGTGAAAGCCTTTGATGAGCGTCTAAGCGTTTCTGCTTGACTTCTCAGAACCTGAGCTTCTCATCAGAAAATGAAAAAACTTCCTAAATTAGACGGCATCCGGTCTAATTTGAAAATTAATTATTTGAAATTAATTGGTAAGTTGGTAGCAGGATGATATTATTGGTAGTAGATGTTGTGCAACTTTATTACCCGGCTTTACAGGAAAGAATAATTAATAATTAATTTGAAAAATAATTAACAACTCGGCAAAATTTTGTTGAGTATTTTCAGTATTTTTCATGATCATTTTTGAGAGCAAACCAACACAGTTTTGGTGTGGGAGACAATTTGCCTTATGTTAAGTGCTGATGTATAATAAAATTTCATTTATTATTTTTGTTTAACAAAAGTCCATTGAGTAAAAATTAGTAAATGAATAAAAAGTCCTACTTTTAGATTCTTAGGATTGTTGTTGTGTACTGTAGAGTCAGAATTGACCCACAGCTGATCCTCTGGTGGGTTTTCAGAGTTAATCACATGAGAGGAGAATCTTCTGCAGAATATCTGGTAGCCTCCAACTGCATGCCTTTGGGATTACAGCATAGCTTCTTGCCAATGAGGTCACCAGATCTCCCTCTTAGACTAGATACACTATCTGAAACCAAATAAGAATTCTCTAATAGAAGCTCTCAAGATACCTGATTTAAGGAATACCTAATACAATTTCCTAAGTGGCTTGGCAATTATTGGTAATTTGCTTTTTTCTTCTCACATTGTTGAATTATACTGAGGAAGTTGCCTGCTAAAGAAATAATTTTTCTTGGTAGTCAGAGACTACTTCACTGAAAAGATGATAATTACAAACACTGTCTTTGATAAGTACACATTTTATGAACAAGGTGGAGGGGACCAGCTCTTGGTATGAGATGAGGTCTGAGAAGAAAGAGCTGGCAAGAAAGGAGTAGGATCTGTATCCAGTCCTTCTTCCTGTTACAGGGGGTGACTACAACACTGGTTGTTAGCAGGCCAGCTATCTATCCCTTAGCCCACAGAACCAGGGGCTCCTTCGATAACTCAATTACTCTCTTGCAGGCAATGTGTTTAAGAATGCATGAGCCTGCAGGTCAATGACTAATTAATGAAAGTCCATTCTCGTTCTCTCATCTGTGGCCCTAGGATGCTCTGGCAAGTTGTGATGTGAATGGGAACGACTTGGACCCCATGCCTCGTTACGATGCAAGCAATGAGAACAAGTAAGGCCCACGTGAGGGATGACTGGCGGTTGGCTGGGAAGGCCTGCCTGGAGCTTTGCTTTCTGCTCATGCTGAGGAAAGGATTTTCTTGGAAATCCCTGGTAACAAATGATCCCTAATTTGCTCCAAGATAAACAACTATCTTTCCACTGAAGCTTCTGGCTAATAAAAAGGGGTGGTCCGCATAGCAAGAACCACAGAGAGAGTCCTCAGGAATGATTCAGCATTTCCAACTTTTGAGAGTAGAACTGGAGAGTATTGCCTCTCACATTGGTATGTGACACTCTTTTGAACTTGAAGTGCTCAAAGAAGCAGCAAAACAAAGAGTTTGTTTTCTGTTAAAACCAGTGAATTTTATTGAATATTATCTTTGCAGTCTCCACTAGAGACTTTGTGATTTTGATTCTCCTTTATTTTCTCTTCTATAAAAGCAATGTACCTCTTTGCTCTTGAGTTAGAACTGACTCAGAGTTGATCCTTCAGACTCGTTAGATAGTGTTAATATCTATTATGTTCGTGTTAATGAACATTGCTCCCCCACCCCTTTCTGGAAACCTTCCCCTGGATAATTCTTTAAATATTTTGTGTACATGTTTTAGTTTGGGGTCACAGACATTGCAGAGAGTCTGTTCTCATTTGTTACATGTCCTTCCCGGTCCGTTACTTTCTTTAGGGAGAATGTTCTTAGCGGATATTCGTTGATTAAATAAGTCAAATAAAGGCACATTACTTAGGAAATTGTGACTATGTATGTGGCTTCTTATTATGACCCACAAAACCAAAAGCAAACATCAACAAAGTATTGTGTAAGATAAAGCTATGCAGCATGTTAATATTAGCAGTCAAATAAATATTACAAATTATACTTGATGGTGAGTAGGTGAACAAATAAGTTGATGTAGGTAGACTTTTCAAGAACATACTAGGACAAAAATAGAAAAGAGCTAAATTTAACTAAGTTTTCTTTCAGAGATGGTTGTTGCTACCAAGTTAATAATGTTTGGGTTTTTAAAAAAAATAATATTTAAAGTTTGTGAATTTCACTGAAGGGGTTATAGTTTCAGATAAAGTCGGTTAAATGTATTTGAACCTATTTGAAAAGCTAGTACAAAATGATCTAAAAAAGAAATTTGAAGCCGTCAATGATTAGAAAGTCATACACACCAGTTTACCTATGCGATCCACTCTGTTGTCATGTGGCATCTTTTCTCCAGAATAAAAATAATTCACTGTAAAAATATCTAAAAACAGGGGGCTTTAGGGTAATGGAAATGGGGATAAACCACTAAAAACATACACTTTAAAAAAATCACTTTAAAGTGATACACTTTTAAAAAAAGACGATAGGGTCCTATCAACATTTGTATAGCAGAACAAGAAATAAGAAAACTTAGGAAAGTCTAGATCCCATTAACATTCAGCATATCTTTGTGCAGAAGGTTTAAGGTACAAGAGTATCTACAGCTCTCTCTCTTTCCCATTGACTCTGAGTCAAAATCAACTCATGCTGACCCTCCACTGGGTTTATGAAGCTGCAGATCGTCCAGGAAGAGATTGTCCACCTTTCTCCTGTGGACCCTCTGGTCAATTCAAACTACCAGAGAGACATAGCCTTTGGGTTGGCAGTGCAACTTCCTATGAACCACACCAAGAATTCCTTGCTTCGCGCTAGAAACTGACAATCTGTTGAGTTCTGTAACCATTTCTATTTGCAAAGAAAACTTGGGGAGTGAAGGGGACTGGCCTTTGAGTGTGACTGATCCTTGACTATCACTGTCTATGTGTAGAAACAATTCTCTACTTAGATCCTTTGATGTCTTTTTACAGAGTCGCTCTTAAAAACTGGATTCTCAGTGACTATACCTTTTAATCTTAGCCATGCAAGACCTTTGCCTAGGAAGAATCCACTTGATCTTGCTCACTCCAGGGTATTCTGATGTCATCTGTGTATCCATTCCAAGCACTGTCCATGGTGATTCATGGAGCATAGTGAGTGTGATTGGAAGATGCACACATTTTCCCTGATGTGGCTTTAGGTCCGTGGTTTTGACAGTGAAAATTGATATTGTTTTTCAGTGATGCAACAGCAACACACCCTCCTTTGTTTTTATGCCTGGATCTACCGATTGAAAATTCTGTTTAAATAGCAATCTCTTGACTTCTGGAAATTGAGAGATTTTGTGGTTTATGAGTTTGCTTTTAGTTCAGCCTCTCCCTCCTTAACTTTATGGCCTAGAGCCCTATATCTATGTATTTATAACATTCATAATAAAGTGCAGAGATTAGTGAGAAAGAGGAAGGACCTAATCAATATGGGTTGACACAGTGACTACAATGAGCTTGAATGTGGCAGAGATTGTGAGGATGACTCAGGACAGGACAAGGTTCTGATCTGTTCATAGGGCCCCTGTGAGTCCTAGTAAACTCAGTGGGTCTACAGGCTCATATTGTTTTCCATCATGAGATATATATCCATGTATATATGTATATGTATGTATGTATGTATGTATATATGCATATATATATGTAGGTATGTATGTATGTATGTGTGTGTATATGTATATACACACACTAAGTAATAGCTGTTTCTTACTATAATTATACTTTCCTACCCAGATTTCCATTTATTGGTGCACTACCTCAAAATTTGTATATTTATGAATATTTTTTATTTAAAACTTGGGAATCTTTATTTATTTACAAGGTTAGAGCTTTATAGATTTTTCTGCTTGGGACTGGGAGCTATGACTAATTCAGGCTACACTGCTTTTCTTTAATTCCATTTCCCCATCTCCCAGTGGACCACAAGTCCTTGAATTTGATCTGACATCGTGAGGGTGAGGAATTTCTAATGAAGTCAGGATTCAGGAAGATGAGGCCTTCCTCATTGTGCAAACAATCCTGAAGTTCACGTCACCTTTGGGATTATTTCAGATTTGACTGCATTTGTTCATTCATTCAATTGTATTCTCTGAGAGTCTACTTCGAATGGTTCTGTGCTAAGTGCCTTGGATATATGATGATAAAATAGACTGTCAAATAATAGGGTAAAATTGGAAGATGGCTTTGTAAGAAGTTGTAATGCTTGAAGTGTTTTTGATACTAAGAGAGAAAAAGAACCCTCAAAACTTTATATAAATGTTCTCTTAGTCTTGCTTGGTTATGTTTGTAATGGCAAAGCTTTGGGGTAAAGGAAATCACCTTAAGAGTGCCAAAGTTTGTTAAGACAGCACGGTACTGGTACAATGACAGACACATAGATCAATGGAATAGAATTGAGAACCCAGAGATCAGCCCATCTATCTATGGTCTACTGATTTTTGACAAGGAGATGAAATCAGTGAAGTGGGGAAACGACAGCCTTTTTAATAAATGGTGTTGGCAAAATTGGAAAAGTATCTGCAAAGACTCAAGCAAGATCCACACCTCACTCCATATACAAAAACCAACTCAAGGTGGATTGTGGACTTAAGACTAAAACCAAGGACTGTAATCTTCATTAAAGAAAAGCTTGGAAGAATGCTAGAAGTCCTAATCCACAACATAAACAGTCTTCCAATTATAATGAAAAACCTACAGCCAGGAGAAGATAAAATAGATGAAAGGGACCTTCTAAGAATCAGATCCCTATGCACATCAAAAGCTTCTCCAACAGGGTAAAAAGGGAAGCCAAAGACTGGGAAAAAGTATTTGGTAATGACATGTCAGAAAAGGAACTTATATCCAGAATTTATAAAATACTTGAGCACCACAACAAGATAAAGGTTAATAATCCAATAGAAAAATGGGCACAGGATATGAACAGACACTTCACCAAAGAAGACATTCAGATGGCTAACAAGCACATGAAGAAATGTTCAAAATCCCTAGCTCTAAGAGAGATGCAAATGAAAACAACTAAGAGATCGCATCTCACCCCAGTCAGAATAGCAAGCAACAAATGCTGGCGAGGTTGTGGAGAAACTGGAACCCTTATTCACTGTTGGTAGGAGTGTAAAATGGTACTGTGGAAAAAGTTACTAATAGAGTTACCGTTTGACCCAGCAATTCCACTACTGGGAATATACCCCAAAGAGACCATAACTGCCATCCAAGCAGATATATGCACACCCATGTTTATTGCAGCTTTGTTCACAATAGCAAGAAGTTGGAAACAACCCAAGTGCCCATCAACAAACAAATGGATAGAGAAGCTGTGGTATATTCACACAATGGAATACTATACTGCATTGAAAAACAAGGAACTCATGCAATCTTATTTTAAATGGGTGACCCTGGAGGACATTATGCTGAGTGAAGTATCTCAGTCGCCAAAGGACAAATACTGCATGGTGCCAACGTTGTAGAATGGGACTGATAATTGGGGTTGGGGGGAGACTGAGAAAGATGGGTTCAATAATGTATACTGCATTGAAACAGATGAGGGAGAAATCTGTTTCAAAGGGATATGTGATTAGGTATTTTTGTCATTACAGGAGTCCAGAGCAAAGGTTGTATAGTGGAGTGGACCTGGGGGGAGGGATTGTAAAACAATGAAAGAATTCTTCTTTTACTTTTCCAAGAGTGTAGTGTACTGGGGGGGAGTGGGGGGGAGGGGAGAAAAGTACAACAATGAATGAATGGAAATCCAAAGTCTCTGTAAATTTTCATTGAAATTAATAATAAATTTTAAAAAAAGGAGGAAAAAATCTTGTATAAAGTGTAATTGTAAAAAAAAAAAAAAAGAGTGCCGGGAGCTCTGGTGGCCTAGTGGCAAGGAGCTGCAACTACAATCCCAGAGGCGCACAGTTCGAATCCACCAGATGCTCTGCCGGGGAAGGAGGGGCAATCTCCTCCTGTACCAGTCAGATCTGATTTGATGGTACACGCACACAAAAATAATTAAAATAAAAAAAAAGAGTGCCAAAGTTTAAGAAATCTTCTTGTCACTTTTTAAAGTTCCCAGATGGTGGCATTGTCAGACCTAAATAATTGATGGTGAAGAAATAGCATATTAGAAG